ACAATACCACATGGTGAACTCAGGACAGGCCACGAAGTGGTCGGCCGCGTGTCACCAACGAACGAGAAGACCGCTACATCCACACCCTTCACCTGCGAAACCGCTTCTTACGGCAACGTTGGGTCGACACATCAGCCTGTGGACCGTGTTGAGAAGATTAGGAGCAGCGGGAATCAGAGCTCGGCGTCCCTTCCGCGGCATGACCTTGACCCTTCGACATCGACAGAACTGGTTGCATTGAGCAAACAAGTTCCACAGTGGCAAGTGCAAAATTGGCAACGAGTGCTTTTTAGTGATGAAAGTCGATTTTGTTTGTTCCGCAACTAAACCAGAGAAAGGGTATTTAGGCGTCGAGGTGAACAATTGGCCCCTGTTTGTGTTCATCAGGTCCATCCTTACGGCGGAGTTGGCGTAATGGTATTGGGCTGCATTTGTGGTGATGAGAAATCTAAACGCGAGCGAATACAGGCGTCAGTTTGTCGAACCAGTTGCACTGCCGTTCTTGAACAATCGGCCACGAGGAACGTTGTTTCAGTATGACAACGCAAGACCCCACACCACAAGAGCCACGCAAGATTTCCTCAATCAGCGCAATGTTCATGTTCAACCTTGGCCAACTTGTTCCCGGACATGAATCCGATTGAACATTTATGGGACGAGTTGGACAGACGACTATGACGTCGCCAACAACCTCCACAAAACGTTCAAGAGCTTCAACAGGCACTAACAGGGGAATGGCACCGTATCCCGGGTAACGTCATCCGACGTTTGACCACGTCCATGAGGCGACGTGTGCAGGCTTGCATTGACGCCGCAGGAGGTCACACGCGATATTGACATTGAAATTATCACTTAATTCAAGTCTTGTTGACTTGAAAATGGCATTGTTGTTTTTTCACACGTTGACCAAAATGGTAAATTCTGACCAAGACGGGTTTCGCACTTGATAATTTCCAAACATCTTAAGTCATTCTCTAGCAATGTGCAAACATTGAAATGTGTTTGACACATTGATAGCAAAAAACAATTCTCGTCTGAATATCTACCATATTCTGTTTTTTTATAATTAAATCTACAATTGACCTATACTTTCTTTTGCAAGGTAGTTTAGCTGGAATACTGGAGTATGAAGCAGAATGGTGATCAGTGGATTGTCTGGTCCACACTCAAATATTTACAGGCTGTCGTCATATAGCTGGAATACTGGAGTGTGAAGCATATAACAAGCCTAGATTATCTGTCACGAAGCGAATATCAGTGAGTGGCATAAGGCAATAGATATTTACCTGTATAATACTGCCAGCCTGCCTCTTGTTCACCCCTAGTGGTGATGGATGAATAATACAACCGGCAACGTTGAGACGCTGGATTGTGCAGTACCATGTTGCACCACAGATTACGGACACACATCCATAAACATGCAGCTTTGTCAGAAACACCGCGTTCAGTGATGAAGGTGTCAGTGAACATTTGTCCGTCCAAACTTCTATGATGGTGAAATGTCAAAATGTGACATGACTGTAAAACTGAGCTGTAAGTCATGGTGATGGCGAGAGCTAGCTGAACAAATTCCCACGCAACCATCCTCATGCTGCAAATTTCTAAAATAGTTCCCTGTAGTTAGAGAACGGGAGAATATTAACAGCTCAATGTGTTAATTGGTGGTATGACGCCAGTATTGAGTACACCTTCGTTTCTTGTAAACATGTTAATTGGCTCTGTTCACCGACCAATCACTGACAAGGTGATCCTGTGACTATCTTTAAGGAGCGGCTGTTTGAGATATGAATTATATATTATAACACAATGCCATTTAGAAAGTGGTCAAATGTAACATATGTTATATTTGGGATTGCACTTTCGTAGTGGGACTCAACCCAACAAAAAGCACTAGTATCTGTACTTTACTAAGAAAGTGTATCTGACCATAACTTCTAAATGACATTGTTTAATCACAGCTTTCGGCCGTTGGAGTCATGCCAATTTACACTTATCAGATGTACACAAGTCCGCTCTAGACTACCAGTTGTGCGACTTCCATTTTTGTGGAAGTCGCGGTGGCTGCGTGCTGGCGATTAGGTGTCTGACTCAGAGGGTGTGGGTTCGTATCCCGGATAGGACTCAACCGAACAAAACATACTAGAATCGGTACTTTACTGAGAAAGTGTAATCCCAAATATAACACATGTTACATGAATTATATAGTTCACATTAATGAAAGAACGGAAGACATGTCGTCACAATGTTTGACATCAATGTCAGGAAGTTCGATTATCATATCGATTCATTACAGTCATGCGCAAACAAGTCTGATAAACAACTTGCAAGTTACTATTCGGTCTGTTTGAGTGAGTGAGTGAGTTACTTTGTACGCCCCTTTTAGCGAAATTCCAGCAATATCATGGCGGGGGACACCAGAAATGGGCTTCACACAGTGTACCTATGTGGGGAGTCGAACCCGGGTCTTCGGCGTGACGAGCGAACGCTTTAACAACTGTGCTACCCAACCGCCTCCGGTCTGTTTAAAGTAGCTAACAGAAAATGGAACTCACGATTAATATTTTTATTTCTGACTCCCTGTTACAGAAAGGGATGAGGCACTCATGGTTGCGTCTGGACAAAGAGTAGAGAAATACATCGACTTGTTTTAAAAAGAGGACGCAAATACTAGGAGACACGCACGCACGCGAGTGAGTGAAAGAGAGAGGGAGAAAAAGAGAGAGAAACAACAACATGAAAATACACAAACACAAACATCAGTAAACAATGTAAGGACATTCCGTATTTAATTATTGTGATTCATCAGCAGAGTTAGCCACAGCATGTTACGACATTTTTTAAAAATAAAACGTGGCTTGTTCACTTTGAAAACATGGTGTAAATAGAGGGGTGACAAGTAAGTAAGACTAAGAGTTATTCTCAAATGTTTACATTTATATCTAGTTAGTGAGTGAGTGAGTGAGTGAATGAATATTGCCTAACGCCGCATCAGCAGAACATTTATATCTAAACAGAATTACATAACGCACACACACACACACACACATACACACACAACCTTAAATAATGTAAGGACATTCACTTTTTGATTATTGTGATTTATCACAGCAAACACACGCACACGCACACGCACACGCACATATTCATTCAGTTTCTGTACTGAGCCAGAGAGGGCTGTAAGGTGAACTTTCTGCTAAGAGTCACAAAGACATTCATAACACAACAGAACATTATAGCGAGTCATCAGCAGAACCATGAAGTCACAATATGTTACAACATCTAGTTTATGTAAAGCTTGGCTTGATTCACTTGGGATACATGGTGGAATATTGTGCATCAAGTAAGTAAGACTGAGAGTTATTCTCAAATGTTACAGTTATATCTAGTGAGTGTGTGAGTGAGTGAGTGAGTGAATATTGCCTAACGCCGCATCAGCAGAACATTTATATCTAAACAGAAGTACATAACATACAACCACGTGTTACAATATGCTCCAACAGTTACTGAAGCAGAGGTATGCTGTTTCACATACATATACAGGCAAACAAAAAATGCAATGTAATTTTTAGTACATGTTATCAGGTGAAATAATAAGCTTTCCTTCAGGAGGGATGCAATCTTATATTTAATTATGAATCCACATACAAATGACAATACAATGAGTACAAATGTATTTCTCACATAAGAGATCCTGAAACACTGAAAAGAAATTATAGTTTGTAGAAATCAGGACACTAAAATGAACAATTCACAAGTATTACAAATAATGTAGATGTATACTTAAGTGTTTGGATACTGAGCATGTCTTGGGTAAAAAAGGAGCATATATATACAATGTAATATCTGAATAGGTCTTTGTACAATATCATATCAGTTCTGTCTGTAACTGTACAAGTAATATATTAACAATCTGTACAATAGTCGAGCAGTCTAACTGTCTATCAAAGTTAACTCACAACTTCTTTATTGCCATGACAAAATGGGAAGAAAGAGAAATATCCTTCTCCGACTCCCAAGACTCTCAAGAGTACACAGCCAAAGTTATGAATGGAAATCGACAGAAGGACGGACTGACAGACATGCAGACAAACTGACAGACAGACAGACAGACAGACAGACGTCGGGTTGTATATTTTCCGACTCCAAGAACACATCGATATGCACACACATGCCTTTTGACAACGTGCAAAGAATGAGAAACGTTATGAACGGAATTCGACAGACAGACAGACAGTCAGGCAGACAGGTAGAGGGACATAAGTCACACGTCAGGTTGTGAGCCATTTTAACAAATCAGTTACATCTACATATTGTCAATACATAATGTCATATATATAGTGAACATCTGTAATGTCTTTTATCAGTATTTCTCCAGGAATGACCAAACTGTGTCAGACAATTACATAGACATCTATTTACATATCTACAACATCTGATTACAAGGCAATAGTTGGTACCCATAGCAACGAAGGAAACCATGTCTTGGCATGAAATAAACATTTACTAATTCCTGAATGTACATCATTTTTCAAAGTGTGCCATTTGCAACAAGCAAAATAGTATGTGCACATTTAAATCACAAGCATTAATGGTTTGACAAGATATAACATATGTTTGTAAAATTGAAATGATATAGGTTTCTGTTTACAGTTCATATTTGGATGCGGTGGTTCCTGGGAACTTTGACGTCGTATTGAACATCTTCACCGACCTGTTTCCATCCATGCACTTACTTATTGCTCACAAGTTTAATGCTTATTTAAATGGCAAGGAGTAAACCACACATGTAATATTATGCACCTGTTATGCAGCATAATGTTCTGTGTCAAAATGATATAGACATCTATGAACATATCTACAAGATCTGATTACAATTGGTACCAACAGCTGTGGAACACCGATAAGTCAAGTGTCAAATACAAGAAGGTGTTATCTTCCAAACATTCACTTACGACAATAGTCATATTCAAATTGCATACTGAGACGAAGTGAAAAGCATACTAGATTCTTTGTATTTATTTGACATGTTTGACCTCACAAACATCAGATTGTTCAGCTTATTGAGGCATAAGATCATCAAAATCAACAATGTCGTACTACAGGTTTCATTTGAAGTGTTATCTGCTGTGTACAAAATTCCTTTGCTGTTCTTGTTCATACTTATTATGCATTCTCACAGTGTATCAGTTTATTTAAGAATTCAATCTTTGATGTCCGGGATGATCCTTGACAGTCATAGTTATTAGGAAAGTCCATCAGCTGTCCAAACCTTTTTCAAATCTTTCTCATTCCCCGAGAATTCCCTGACTTATTCCTCAGGTACTCCACAATGGCATTACTCTGTCTTCTCTTAGCCAGAGTAAGGATGCATTCGCTTGTGTCTGAGACCAGACAGAGATCTGCCTTGTGGTCCACCAGCAGCTGGAAGACATCCCCATGTCCACACACAGCCGCCATCATCACCGGTGTCCAGCTGTACCGACCTCGGACATTGATGTCAAAGGTCGGGAGCAGATACTCCACACAGTGTCTGTTGCCTCCACGACAAGCCAGATGAAGCAGACTATCTCCAAACTGGTCTGTCTGAACCAAATCAGGACTGTTGTCAGGGCAAACTTTCAACTTTTCAAAAGATCCAGTCACTACGGATCTCATCAGTATTGTCCAAGGGGTGTGCTTCTTCACATATTGTCCATCAGGTGATAATCGTTCTATGATTTGTCTACTTCCTCCCTGAAGGGCGAGAGTGAAGACATCATCTCCAGTCTTATCAACCAGTGTCAAATCTGTACCCTGTCGTCTGAGGTAGTCAAACACTGCAGACTCTCCAAAAACAGATGCTACCATTGTTGGAGTCCACCCATGTGTGTCTCCGTCATCAATGTTAAACCATGGACACACATGTTTCACCATACCAAGATGTCCACCTATACAAGCAACGTGTAGCAGACTATTATCCATATTGTCCACTATCTTGACGTCAGCGTTTCTGGACACAAGGAAGTCAACTGCGGGAATTTGACCACCTCTAGCTGCCTCAAGAAGCGGTGTGCGACCGTGCAAGCCTCTTGTGTCAATGTCAAAATCACCTATGACATCTTCAACAATCAACATGTTACCACCTCTACATGTTGTGTGTAGTGTTGTATGATTATTATCACCTACACATACACAGTTACCTCCACGTTTCAGTAGAAGTTCCCAAACATTGTGATTTCCCTTTGAAGCTGCACACATCAAAGGTGTCCAACCCAGTGATCCCCGACAATTAATGTCAAACAGTGGAAGCAGAGCTTCTACAATGGGAGTATTTCCACCTCGACATGCCACATGAAGGATGGTGTCATTGTTGTTAGCTCTTATTGTGAGATCAGCTCCCTTTGACACGAGCAGATCGAACACATCCTTCTGCCCATACAAAGCTGATGTCATTGCTGGTGTAAATCCCACCTCTCCACGACAATTAATGTCAAACAATGGAAACAGATCTTGTACAATAGGACTTTTTCCACCTCGACATGCTACATGAAGGAAGGTGTTATTGTTGTCACTTCTTATTGTGAGATCAGCTCCCTTTGACACGAGCAGGTCAAAAACATCCTTCTTCCCATACAAAGCTGATGTCATTGCTGGTGTAAATCCCACCTCTCCACGACAATTAATGTCAAACAGTGGAAGCAGAGCTTCTACAATGGGACTTTTTCCATCTCGACATGCCACGTGAAGGATGGTGTGATTGTTGTCACTTCTTATTGTGAGATCAGCTCCCTTTGACACGAGCATGTCAAAAACATCCTTCTTCCCATACAAAGCTGATGTCATCGCTGGTGTAAATCCCACCTCTCCACGACAATTAATGTCAAACAGTGGAAGCAGAGCTTCTACAATGGGACTTTTTCCACCTCGACATGCCACGTGAAGGATGGTGTCATTGTTGTCATTACTTATTGTGAGATCAGCTCCCTTTGACAAGAGCAGGTCAAAAACATCCTTCTTCCCATACAAAGCTGATGTCATTGCTGGTGTAAATCCCACCTCTCCACGACAATTAATGTCAAACAGTGGAAGCAGAGCTTCTACAATGGAATTATTTCCACCTCGACATGCCACATGAAGGATGGTGTGATTGTTGTCAGCTCTTATTGTGAGATCAGCTCCCTTTGATACTAGCAGATTGAAAACATCCTTCTTCCCATACAAACCTGCTATCATCGCTGGTGTAAATCCCACCTTTCCACGACAATTAATGTCAAACAGTGGAATCAGAGCTTCTACAATGGGACTTTTTCCACCTCGACATGCCACGTGAAGGATGGTGTCATTGTTGCCCCTTCTTATTGTGAGATCAGCTCCCTTTGACACGAGCAGGTCAAAAACATCCTTCTTGCCATACAAAGCTGATGTCATTGCTGGTGTAAATCCCACCTCTCCACGACAATTAATGTCAAACAGTGGAAGCAGATCTTCTACTATGGGAGTATTTCCACCTCGACATGCCACATGAAGGACGGTGTCATTGTTGTCACTTCTTATTGTGAGATCAGCTCCCTTTGACACGAGCAGATCGAACACATCCTTCTGCCCATACAAAGCTGATGTCATTGCTGGTGTAAATCCCACCTCTCCACGACAATTAATGTCAAACAATGGAAACAGATCTTCTACAATGGGACTTTTTCCACCTCGACATGCCACATGAAGGATGGTGTCATTGTTGTCATTATTTATTGTGAGATCAGCTCCCTTTGACACGAGCAGGTCGAAAACATCCTTCTTCCCACACCAAGCTGCTGTCATTGCTGGTGTAAATCCCACCTCTCCACGACAATTAATGTCAAACAGTGGAAGCAGAGCTTCTACAATGGGACTATTTCCACCTGCACATGCCACATGAAGGATGGTGTCATTGTTGTCCCTTCTTATTGTGAGATCAGCTCCCTTTGACACGAGCAGATTGAAAACATCCTTCTTCCCATACAAAGCTGATGTCATTGCTGGTGTAAGTCCCACCTTTCCACGACAATTAATGTCAAACAGTGGAAGCAGAGCTTCTACAATTGAGATATTGTCTCTGTTTCTGCCATGAAGGAAGAACATGGACCAGTCCTCATTTAACATAGGGGGGCATTCTTTAATGGAAATATTTCTTCCCTGACAAGCCCAGTGGAGCACAGTTTTCGTATCATCATCAGTTATATGAACATCGGCCCCTTGAGACCTGAACAGATTGAAAACGTTATAGTTTCCATGTAAAGCAGCAATCATTAACAGCGTTCTGCCCTTAGTATCTCGTGCATTAATGTCAGCGACTGGAAGGAAGAATTGTGAAAATCTTATATCGTCTACTCTGCAGCTGTACTGCAAGGCTGAATGAGATGCGCTTTGAAAGTCGAAGTCTCCAGTCAGATCTGTGATGTTAAATCCTTTCGTAATAAATCTAAACAATTCTCTTCCAACTGTACTGAACCCCTTTATCTTAGCAATTTGAAAGACATTTTCACCAACATCATTTTTTGATTCAAAGATATCAGCTCCAATGTTAAGTAAGGCTAATGCAACGCCTTTGTAATTATTGTCTGTGGCAGTCACTAGAGCTTTGTTGAGCATACTTTGATGAAACAGTGACATATATTTGGAAGATAACAACAACAACACTGCTTCGTTCCCACAGGAAGCACAGGCATTGAAGGCTTCCTTGATCTCTTCGTCTGAAAAATGGTATCCAAAATCGAGGATTTTCTCAACCAAGTACAGACTATGTGCATGAACTGCCCAGTACAGTAAGTGTTTCTCTTCTTCCTTTGCATGCAACATGGCAAGCCGCTTTGTGTCCTTCGTATTCAGCAACCGCTTTAATGTATTTAATTTCTTCAGTTTGAGCATCTGGAACACTTTGTCAACTAGTTGCTCTTTTCTCAAAATAGGATGTGTAATAGACATACTGTAGTTGCCTTTGGCAACAGCATCGGCCAGTCTGGAGGCAATTGTGTCATAGTAAGCTTCTGACACGTAGATGATGTGGAGGTGATTATCTATTGCAGTGGACTGGACTGGCTGGGCTTGTACACGCTCATAAAGGAATCTGATACTGCAGTGGTTCAGAACAAAGGATGGATTCATTTTGAATAGGGCACATGCACAAGCATCATAGATGGTGGGATGTGAAAATCCAAGTATATCTCCATCAGTGAAAAATACACCCCTGTAACATCTGACGGCTTTGGCAACTGTAGTCCGTGAGGTAACTGGCACCACGCTTTTTACGGCTTCTAAGAAATCATTTTCAGATCCGAATTCTACCTGGCTCAAGTTCAGATGATCTTCACACAACAACATCAGGATGAGTGCAGCGGATTGATCATTCCTACGTTCCATGATCATGTCAATTTCTCGCCGTAGATAAAATAGGGGTTCTTGGAAAAACTGTGAAGGTTCTTTTTGAAAGCTGAGAAATTCACAAAACAAGGTACATATTAGGGGGAATCCAAACAAAGATTCTCTTGTGTCACAAAGCTCAACAATATCGAGGTCCAGATCGATGTTATGGTGTTTCAGTTGTTTCTGGAGTATTTTCTTTCTTTCCTCGGGGCTGTAATGACACGATTTCATTTTTGTTAAATCGAGAAGCGATGGGCCTGTGAAAAAATAATATTCTTGGCCTTCCAACTTTGCGACTCCACATTCCAGGTTGTACGATTTAGTGGTGAACATAACACGAATCACTGATTCAGCGCCTGGATGTGTTTTCAGTTCCTTGCTAGATTTAGCATCTTCTAAATATTGTTTGAGATTTTGTAGAATGGACCTAAGATGGGGAACGTCAGTTGATAGGCTGACTGTTCCAAATATATCATCCAGTATCAGACAAACTTTCTTTCCACGCAGGTCACAATTCTTCAGCTCGAATTTATCCACATCATCAACAAACACAAGTTCATACCCCTGGTTCCTGAGATCTGCTCCTATCATCAAGGCAATAGACGTTTTTCCTTCACCAGAAGCACCACTTATTGCCACATGGTCATACTTCTCCAAGAGTTCCTTCACTCTTCTGTAGTTAGCAGTTTTCTCAAAGACATCTTTGACTCGCTTCAGATTTATTTGGAGCATATCTACAAGACAAAAAAAGGCATTAAATTCCTCCACATAATCTTACAATTATATATCCTGCTTCATCGCAGTATCGAATCTATCTCTTGTTGCCCAATTGCCACAAAAGATTTTTTTCTGGCAAGATCTTTTTTTGCCAATAAATAAATCTGTTACATAATGACATCTGATGCATCTTCTGAGACGTCTACACCAAGACGATCCAGGGCATCTATCAATAATGTATGTCTGCCATCTCGTAGCAACAGCCCACCTGCCAACTGATCCAGAAGCCATTTCAATCAAAAGATTTAAACTGACCTTCAACCAAGATGAGAGTTGCATAATCCAGTTATCCTACCATCACACTACAAACTAGTTTACTATACAACATTGTTTTCTGCATAAAACCTCCCTTGTCATCATCTGCCTATTATTTTTTCTGTTTAGGTCTATCACCATGTGCTATGAAGTTAAAGAAGTGTTACATTTGGAGGTTTGAATTCTTAAGTCATCCCTTTGAGTCAGACATCTGCTAAATGAATCGGCTGGGCTCCATAACAATTCAAGTCTTTTTCAATGAAACGCAATTATTACCTGATTTCATTATTCCATCATTCTGACCTCCAACAGATAAGATGACATCAGAAGAGTCTTGTACTATGATGCCTTTAAAGTCAGACCCTGGAATGAGAGTAGAAACAGCAGGTGAGTCACAATGGAGCTTATCGCAGCTTTGTTGTTGCCTGATTGATTGTGTATGATACTTGTAAGATAATTACATCGTTTGGGAAGGAGAAAACAATAAGTGGAACCAACGGTGCATACTCACTTTGACGTTTTGGACAATAAAATGTGTTTCAGAAAATAATGCCATTGATACTGATTTGTATTAAATGTGGCGAATATTTTGCTTGTGGTAAGCATTCTACTTACCTGCAGTGATTCTAGTTGACACTGCTTGCCTTTCTCGTCTCTCAGAAACAGCCATGACACTGGCCCGGCGCTCGACCACTTCTGACGATGCTATCATGTCCATGGAGAATGTCCCATCACCATGTGTTCCTTGTGAAACGACATTAACATCACTGTCATTACCAGTTTGTGCTACTTCTGATGATGCTACCATGTCCATGGAGAATGTCCCATCACTATATGTTCCTTGTGGAACGACATTAACATCATTGTCATTACCAGGTTGTGATACTTCTGATGATGCTACCATGTCCATGGAGAACGTCCTGTCACCATGTGTTGCTTGGGGAACGACATTAACATCACTGTCATTACCAGGTCGTGCTACTTCTGATGATGCTATCATGTCCATGGAGAATGTCCTGTCACCATGTGTTGCTTGGGGAACGACATTAACATCACTGTCCTTACCAGTTTGTGCTACTTCTGATGATGCCAGGTTGTCCATTGTGAAAGTTACATCACCACCTGTCTCACGTTCCCTGGCAGGACGTTCCGATTCTGTCTCCCTCTGATTCCTCGACATGTCTGAAAATCAATGTCACAATATTTAACCTAATCCTCAAGTGAAACTTAAATTGATAAACCAACTGATCGAGTTATAACTTCACTAGCATTTACAAGTGTTTGTGATGGATGCCACCAATTTGGTTAGACACTTAATCATGACATATTCTGGTATCTTAATGTTTTGTACGTCTACTGATTTTGATTAAATGTGCAACCTTTCACAATATATTGCTTTGCTTGCAACTGTAGAATTCAAATACTAAAGCGCCCCAAACCTAAAAATAGAAAAATGGCGTATCTTGGCATGCACCACGCTGATATGTCAAGTGGGTCTATTGGATCAGTTTTGAACGTTAATCACACTGTAATCAGTAGCTCATTCGTAAATGCAATATGACTTGACACGTGAAAAGTGTGCTGACACATGGAAAAACATGGTTTACAAAGATGTATAATTTGTCATGTTCATATTTACAAATGGTTGTGCTGGTTGAGGGCACTGGTTCCAGGAAAAGTGTTCCATTGCCAAACACACCACTTGCCCTTACTGCACCTAGACGGGTGGTAGAATGGGCCGGGTTCTGCCAATCGGGTAGTGATGCCATGGCCTCTCCTTTCGAAAGAGTGAGTTGCATTCGATTTCATATTGCACAAATGTGATTTCTGTAACTGATCCTGATTTGGGTATTGGTAAAATAATTTCGCAGAATTTATAATGCCTTAAAATTACAACAAATGTTCATCTGCCATAAAGGCGTATGTCCAGAAGGCGGTTGTTCACGGGCCGATCCTTCGGAATAATTAAACTTCTATTTTTCTGCTGGAGTATATCATCCGAGCATCCTTGGTGCTGCATGTCGGATATCCACTTGTTTTTAGCATTGTCTTCATAATACCCCGTAATGGGTGGTGAGCTCGGATGATGAAACACTAGCTATGGATTACAACAACAACAACAACACCCCCCACCCCCCCACACCCCCACACCCCACCCCTAACACGAAACAGTCGTCAACTGGACAATGATAGTGACGACTAACGACCTTCCAACTCAACTGAATATTGGCCACGATTTGTTGTCTTGACACCTATAAAGCTAAACCAATTTGCACTACCAAAAGACGTACATGATTTTGCAGGTTAGGTCCAAAATATCAAATGGTTGCGTACAGGCTCTCTGCTCATAGAATGTAGCAGGAAACAGTAATGGACAAATTTGATGTCAGCTATTTGTTGGAATACCGATATCAGTTCCCTACATAAAACTTGACCAGTATCTGAAATAGAAAGAACAAGGAGTGAATTTTGTAAACTGATTCACTACCCGACAAAACTCTGAAACTAAACAAACAAACACCTACCTATTCCTGAAAAGCTCCAAAATAAGTTAAAGCAGGATACTGCAGCATCAGTGTTGATATACTTTATTAAAATATCGGCTGAGGTGATTTTAAATGCCAAATGTACGACCATGATGTAACATGCACTCAATGCAGTGAGAAAACCTGTGTAACTGAAGATTACAATAACAACATTAAAAAAATGCGCCAACTGCACTGGCTGAAAAACTTTCATCTTTTCTAAATAATACCCAATCTGGAAGCAACAAATGGAGATCAATAAAATTAAAATCACGTGGAACATAAGTTTTACTGAGGCCCCCCAAAATGTTGTTCTCGCCATAGAACCAAATGAATCCTATGCCTCAGTTACGAGAACATTCTCTGTAATCAGCCACATGTACAAAGCAACTGTGTCTACTTCATCAACACACTGCCAACTGATTTGGCATGGGTGGTTACAGAGAAGCTTCATGTATACTCTCTAGATCAGTCCACTCAGACGCTGAATCACGTCCAAAAACACTTCCTCAAGCTCGGTCATCTTCACGGGGAAAATCCATACCAAACATCAATCCCAAAATAATGGGAATCATGTTACCCAAATCAAATTCAAAGCCGTTAATGACTCTCAAAAATATCAAAGTGACCAGTCTCCAAATGTTCAAATAACAAAATCCAACGTTCAGTAAGTTCGGAGCCTTAAGAGGACATGGAAGTGTCCGGAAACATCCAAGTTAGGGCCCATAGCTTGTCGCCCTTAAGGTAAACTATGGGAAGATCCCCAATAAACCTTTCGAAGTAATATCTTCTTCATATATGATACGAATATTTAAGGAACGCCGCCATTTAGCCGGAATTTTGCAAAGAGCGGCGTAAAACTAAACTTAGAAATTTAGTAATCATACGGCATGAGCATTGCTGATTTAAACAACAAACAAAACAAACAAACAACAAAAAACAAAAATAGAGCATACCGAACACGTGTAGTTAGTGTTACCTTTCCTTATCGTGTGTATGCTGCAGTATTCGGTCATGCATTTCCTGCCACAGGTCTCATTGTTTGGCGATTAAGACTGTCATGGTGAGACCTAACTCCACAAAGATAACGCGTGTTTTTTATCCCCCGCCGCGCGTTTAGCGCGAAGCAGGAGATAGTATTAGGCTCCGTCCGTTCGTCCGTCCGTACGAATTGGAATATCTTAAGAACCGTTGACTACATTCTTTTCATATTTGGTACTTAGGTTTATCACAGTATAAGAAAGATCCAAGTCAGGTTTGGTGACCTTGACCTTCATTTCAAGGTCACAAGGGGACTTTAACGTTTTACCTGCATGTTAAGCTATCTTAAGAACCGTTCCTGGATTTTCTTCATATTCAATACAAAGCTTTATCTAGGGAAGGCGCAGGGCCCAGTCAATTATGGTGACCTTCACCTTATTTTCAAGGTCACAGAGACACTTTGAAGATTTCAGCATATTTCAAGAATGGTTCACTGGATTTTCTTCAAAGACTTTCAAGACTTCCCTTAAATGTTTTTCAAAAAACAATTTCTTTAGTACTATCTTTGCATATTTCTTACCATATGACATTCATGTCAAGGTCAAAGTCAGTCTTCAAAATATGTGTGTGTTTGAACACCTAAAGAGCAAGATATCAATAGAGGTTGACTGGTCATGCTTTTGTTGACATTTAACTTAAACTTTCATTACTTTATAAGTTTGATTTGATCATTTGCGGCAGGGGGATTATGTCACCTTAGTGGCAATGCTTGTTCTTATTTGGAGAAGGCGTGTAATATTCCGATAGGTTGAGCTCACGTCCGAGGGGTTTCAATTGTTCTCCCGTGACGAGATAATACTCGTGCATGGCCTCGTTTACGTCCTGAAACGTTCGTACGGCGTGACCTCGTTGCAGTTGACCATGATTAAAATCCATTCTTTGCATTCATTTTTTAGCGCAGTAGGCTTGCGCGGCTTATAATTTATCTACGACTAAATTGTGACGTTTCCGTTCTGTGGATGTTTGTAAATAAGAAAAATGGTAATTGCTACCCGAAAAGGTGAAGGCGTTGACTACAACCCCACCGATCATCAAGGCAATCGCGGCCATTTTTTTAATTTTGATAATGTCTCTTAACTTTAATATATTTTCTGAAATGATGCCTTGCTTGATGAGCATATTTTTGGTGGCCATCGCTAGCCCCAAATCCAGGACCAGGATACCCACGCCTTACATATTGCAATCGAGTTTGGGAGTGGCTTCTTTTGTGATCATTTTGCTCAACTGCGTGTAGCCTATTGCTGAGCGAGTGACCACGGCAGAGTGATACGCGTCGTTGACGAACGTTTTTCCGTCGGTGGGAGTAGACATCCTTATTACATAATGTGTGGATTTACCACCACCGTCGTTTGGCTTCATCGTTTTACATAACCATGCAGCTGTGGTGATACCCATGAAAGAGGCTGCCACGGCGTTTGGAATTCACAGTTGGTTATTCATCGGTTTATTATGATGCCTTTCTAACCCACCATTTTTACCGGTGGATACTTTTTGGGTTTGTTTTGCTTTGCATTTTCGTGACAGTATCAATCAGTACTTTGGGGGTCGTCTCCTCGCCTCCACTGCAGTTTTTGGTGGTAGGGTCATTTCGAGGTTCGCCTCTGTCATCTTGTTTATCCTTGGGAAGGAAATACAAATCTATGCCGATGTAGAGTTACGTCTTGGCTGACCCTATGGTTTTCATCATTTCGGCGCCGAGTCTGGTTTCGGATCTCGCGTACAGTTTATCGATTTTTCCATCCGTCAGTTTATTACTTTAATCGTTGGAAATATTTGTGCCCAATTAATGTTAACCCTCACCACCGACGACGAGGGATGCGAGACTTTATGGGCTTATTCACACTCGTATTGAAGGAAGGTGTACCTCCTCCGTCAGTACTAATTTTATCTTCTTCGGATAACATTTGTCCGAGAAGGTCAAGTCCCAGTGGCTACCTTTACTTATACTGTTTCTTTGAACACCAACTGGAGCGTCCAGTACAGTGTTTTTTGTGATAGAATTACTAAGAAAGTAAATGTTAGTTACTGTGAAATGTTGACACCCTGATTTGTCGCTGATGGAATGCTGCTGTAATGTTTGTGTCGTAATAGTGACCTAATTATTGAGTTTTACATAACAATAATGTGAAGCAAAACTGTTTCCCATTAAATTATCTACAGTTTGATATCTTGAACTGAACACTTTTATGAACCCTATGAAAATGCGTTTTGACAAACCTGACCAACTTCCAACGGCGATAACTCTACAATTAATCAAGATATTGACTTGCCTTAAGCAATCTTAGTAGTCTGGAGTGTGAGCTTTACAAAGACGTATCAAACACAATGGTACTAAATGCTATTCAGGAGAATCTTTTTACATACAGGCACCATCAAAACGTGCGGAAATGTGAAGAATCCTCGCAAAATCCAGTGTACTCTTGTCAGCGAAGCCGCCATTTTGTAAAAAATTTGTCATCGGTAGGGATGTCATACGTCAACATTGTTGTACATATTAGGCAATTTCTTTGAGGTGAAGGTCGGTTGAACAAGAGTAAACACAATCTCCCAATCCTTCCGATTACACTGTCAGTATTATGATGTATATTTTGCGTATAGTTCAGATATTTTTTCATG